CAAAAAGACGAGCAGCAGAAGCAGAAAAGAGAGAGGGATTCGTTGACATAAGAGGTCAACTTACGATAGTTCCTCGTCTGCCCGCGCTCCTTATCGAGCCTGGAGATTGGTTAGGCCAGCCGGTGGACGTAACCGGGGGGAAGAATTGAGAGCCGCCTTCCATCGGGTGGTACTGAGACGGTACATGCACTACGCGAGGACAGTAAGTTTTCCCAGCAGCCTCCGGGGTCCATTTCGGACGCAGCGCTGCCTCGGGTTCTTTCACGCCGCAGGAGACGCGGATCTCGAGTCCCGCCGGCTGCTCGGAGCCCGCCTGAGCGAGGCCCCGCGGCGATGGCGGCCCCCTGCCCCGGCGGCGGCGGCGGAGAGGTCAGATGCGGGGCAGGGCGCGGGGGCGGCGTCCCGTGGGACTTTCTGCCGGGGCTCACGGTCAAGGCCCCGCCCGGACCCTGGTGAGCGAAGCCCCGCCCCTCGGCCTGGCCCCGCCCCCAGCCGGCGCCCGGGTAGAATTCACACTCGCGTCCGCCCCATCCCGCGGGGCTAGAATTTCTTACCCGGAGTTGCTCCCCCGTCGTCCCGTAACCCACCCTCCTGCGTGGCGTTCCCAGGCCCTTCCTCAGTCCATACCCAACACTCCTCACCGCCCCCTCCTCCCCCTGATCCACCCCCACGTCGGTCCCCACCGCCGCCGGTGGAACTTCACACGCGGGTTCTGCCCCCACCTCCAGAATTGAGTCCGCTTCCAACGTCCCATCCCGTCCCCTAGACCCCAGAGGCAGGGTTCCCTCCCCCAGGCCCCGCATCCCCGAACCCCGGGCCCCGCTGAGGCTCCCCGCGCGCCTCCCGGACAGCTTGCAGGCTCAACCGCAAGGAGAAGTCCCGCAACGCGGCGCGCTCGCGGCGCGGGAAGGAGAACCTGGAGTTCTTCGAGCTGGCCAAGCTGCTCCCGCTGCCCGGGGCCATCTCCAGCCAGCTGGACAAGGCGTCGGTCGTGCGGCTCTGCGTCACCTACCTCCGCCTGCGCCGCTTCGCCGCGCTCGGGGCGCCGCCCTGGGGGCTGCGAGCCACCGGGCCCCCCGCCGGCCTCGGTGAGTGCGCACGCGCGGGGGTGGCGCGCGGAGGACCCGGGGTCCCAGGCGCCCGCCCGCCCTCGCCCTTGATGCAGAGGGTGCATAGAGTTTGGAGTCAGACCTTTTGTGGGGTCCCTATCGGGTGTCTTACTCTCCAAGCCTCAGTGTATTCATCTGTGAAATGGGCACACGGGGAGGAAAGATTTCAGGAATTCTGGCCTCATCGAGGGCTTGGTGACACCAGGGGTCATACTAGCGAATGCTGTTGCTTTTAGTAGCGGAGATGAATCATTGTTATCGCAAAGGAGACCCGCAGCTGCAGCTCCGGGAGTGGGTCAGAGGGGACCGGCCTGGGCCTCCCACCCAGACCTGAGGGGACCCAGGGGGAACACATTTTGAAAGCGGCAGGGAAACAGCTCACGGGACGCCAGCCACCCGGCATGTGACCCGGGCAGGTCACCGCATCTCTCTGTGCCTCATTTGTGAAATGCAATCATGATGAAACGTCTCCCTGAGGGCTAAGGAGAGGACCAACCAGGTAATATGTGTAAAGACCCCGCATCACCGTAGCACAGAGTAAACAATCAGTATGTGGCCACTGTTGCTGTCGGAGTGCCTGCAGGGCTGTTGGGAGCCTGTGCTTTACTGAGCACCTACTGTGTGCCTGCTGCTGTTCTGAGCTCTGGGATCCAGCAGGAAACAGACTAGAGAGTCCCTGCGCTGGACAGGCTGACACCCTAGTGGCCAAGACACGATAACAAGTAATCAAAGAAACAGAATCTAGAATGCATAAATAGAGACGATGTAAAATACAGGTATATAGATGCCTACTTTTTAAAAAAACATTTTTTATTGATTTCAGAGAGAAAGGGAGAGGTGAGAGAGAGAGAAACATCAATGATGAGAGGGAATCATTGATCGGCTGCCTCCTGCACGCCCCCTACTGGGGATCGAGCCCATAACCCAGGCATGTACCCTTGACTGGAATCGAACCCGGGACCCTTCAGTCTGCAGGCCGACGCTCTATCCACTGAGCCAAACCAGCCAGGGCTAGATGCCTACTTTTATTATTATGCAGACTTTATTGACAGATACCTACAAGTGTTATGTTATTAACATATTACTAGAAGACAGTGAATCGTATTAATCCGAGGTCACAGGGACAGGGCACCCCAGGCTACTCTCCCACCCCAACATAAGAGGTGTCCTTAAGGTGGGGGTTGGGGGGGCTCCAATTCCCCTCCTGCCCCGGTCCCAGGGAGGAGGGGGGAGAGAAAATAGCATTGATTAAGTTCGCAATAAATCACCATTTAAATTTAAATAATCCGGCTTCCCAGGCGGTAATTAGGCGAATTGACTGGCACGGAGAGAATGCGGCATTAGAGCCTCTGATTACTGTCATTACTGCGAACAACATGTGCGCCCTGGGGATAAACATCTTGCCTATTGTCCCCGAGCCCAGGGAGAGAAGTGGGGAGAGAGCCCCACGGAAGACCAGCACCTCCCCACACACACACAATTACCTGGGTGGTGGGCAAGTCGGGGCCCAGGCTGGCTGAGTTCACAGCACTGAGGAGGCAGAGCTCCGACTTCATCAGCCCCTGCCTGTCCCCCTGAGCTGGTGGGGGAGGAACTGCAGGACGCCCTCTCATACCCCAACATTAGGAAATTGGGGGCGTCTCTGGCTCTAAAGGTCTCCCAACAAGAGGCCAAGTGCCTCCTTCTGTAGTTCAGATGGGTAAACTGAGGACAGCATGTTAGCAGGACTCAGAGAGCAAAGCATTGAGCCTCCCATTCTCCAAAGGAGGGGGATCCCATGACCTCCTCAATCACAGAAGTAGTAACAGTAATAATACAGCAGCCCTGGCGGGTTTGGCTCAGTGGATAGAGCGTCGGCCTGCAGACTGAAGGGCCCCAGGTTCGATTCCGGCCAAGGGCACATGCCCAGTTTGCGGGCTTGATTCCCAGTAAGGGGAGTGCAGGAGGCTGCCAATCAATGATTCTCTCTCATCATTGATATTTCTATCTCTTTCTCCCTCTCTCTTCCTCTCTGAAATCAATAAGGATATACTTAAAAATAATAATAATACAGCCCAGGTCAGACGCTGCGCCCAGCACTGCATGTAAATTAGCTCGCTCAATCCTCTCAGAGGCCTGAGGCGGGAGGCCATGCTGATTCCCATTTCACAGATGTAGGAAGCGGCCCAGCGGAAAGTCCAACTCGAGTAGCCTGGCTCCTCAGTTTACCTTCTCAACCACTGTACTGGGCGTGGTTGTAGGTCTCCAGGGATGAGTCCTCCCCTGCAGCTCTCCGCCTCTCTCTGGGCCTCAGTCTACCATCTGTAAAATGAGACAACAGAGGTTAAAGTCTAGTTCTGTGCCTCGGAGTCTGGGGAGAAGACAGCCTTGATTTCAAACCAGCCTTGCTCGTTTGTTCAACAAACGCCATTGAACACCTCCCCTGTGCCAGGCACTGTTCTAGGTGCCGGAGACACAGCAGGGAACAGGACAAAGTCCCTGCCCTCAAGGGTCGGCCTATAGTTCCTGCGAGGTGGGCCCCATGTCCCCCACCCCCTGACCTCACCTCCCCCTCTCACCTTTTCAACCCCCACTCTCAGCCCCGACACACACACTGGCTGTTCTTCAGAGAAGCTCGTACTCACCTCAGGGCCTTGGCACTTGCTGTGCCCGCCACCAGGGACTCCCTTCCCTCTGAATGTCCGCTTCTCAGTCAGGTCTTTTGTTTTTTTAAATATATTTTTATTGATTTCAGAGAGGAAGGGAGAGAGATAGAAACATCAATCATGGATTGGCTGCCTCCTGCATGCCCCCTACTGAGGATCAAGCCCACAACCCCGGCATGTTCCCTTGACCGGAATTGAACTTGGGGCCCTTCAGTCCGCAGGCCGATGCTCTATCCACTGAGCCAAACCAGCTAGGGCTCCTTGACCATTCTACTAAAAATGGCCGCAGCCCAGCATTCCCTGTCTCCCTTTTCTGCCTTATCTTTCATAGCGCTATCATCTGACACTACGCATTTCTTTTGTTTGTTGCGTGTCCCTCCCTCACGGCACCTTGTTCCCTGCGTCTGGGACACAGCAGACTCATCCCACAGCTGGGTGACTGGAATGGAATGAGGGGAGAAAGAGTGAATCTTAATTCACAAGCCAGGCATGACCTCTCTGAGGACGTGACCTTTGGGCTGAGAGGAGAAGGAGGTGAGGGAGGAAGCTATGAGAAAGCTGGGCGGGCTTCCAGGCGGAGGGAGCGGCAGTGCAAAGGCACGGAGGCCGCTGGACTCGGCTTGCTGGTTGGAGGGAGTCTGGAGAGGAGGAAGTGAGGCAGGGAGTGGTCAGCAGGGGCCCGGGCCTGCGGGGCCCCACGGGCTGTGGTGAGGACTTTGTCTGTTACCCGGAGTGAGATGGGAGCCATGGTGATGGGGGGTGTGAGTGGGAACAGGGAGCCCCTTAAGGAGGTGAGTGCAGTGGTCTGGGTGGGAGGCGGGGCAGCTGGGCCAGGGTGGGGGCTACGGGATGACAGGTGGTTGGACTCAGCTGATGCCGTGAGCGTACAGCCCATAGGACTTACAGAAAATGGACACAGGTGTGAGAGAGAGAGGGGTCAAGGTGCAGGGCAAGGAACCACGCGAAGGGTGGAGGTACCCCAGGTTATCCATAGTAACGCTGCTAAGAACAGTGGCAGGACTCGGGGATTAGGCACCTACTGTGTGCCTGGCTCTGTGCTACTACACGCACAAACCCATTCTGCTCGCTCACTGGGCCCATTTTACAGATGAGTCTGAGGACAAGTAGAGGCAGAAATGCCCCCCTCCAGCCCTCAGGCCCACACCCCCTGATTGTGGTGGGGTGGTTCCTTCTGTCCGGCCTTGGCCTTCATAGGTAATGAGGTTCCAGCCCTTCTGCCCTTCCTCCACCCCACCCCCCACAGCAATCCCTCCGGACAATTGGGATGGGAAGTGGAGGGGGACTCCTAAGGCCTGGGAGAGGCCTTCAGGCCCCAATCTGGAAGGGATGGTGGCAACTGGGACCGTTTTTTTCTTCTCCAGCAGAATCAGGCTCCAACAGCCCTGACTGGTTTGGCTCAGTGGATATAGAGCGTTGGCCTGTGGACTCAAGGGTCCCAGGTTCGATTCCGGTCACAGGCACCAAAAATAAAAAATAAAATTAAAAAAAAGAATCAGGCTCCAACAAAAAACAGCAAATGTTTGTTGAATGAGTGAGTGATTGGTTGAGGTTTGGACGTGAGGAGAGGACACATGAGGGGGGCAAATCTGGGAGTAACTACCTTGGGGGACAGAGAAATTGAGGTGTGTGGGTAGGAGAGGAGGAAACACAGAGCCAGGAGTTGGGGAACTGGAGGGTTTGGGGAGGGAGAGCCTGGGGGCAGGGAAGCGCGCCGGTCTGTGATGGGACAGACCCCCGCGCTCCCCATCCCAGGGGACAGGCCGGGTGTTTTGGGGGGAACAGCCAGTGGCTGAGCCCTCCCCACACGCCCGCCCCCGCCCCCGCCCGGGCCCCACGCGCCCATTAACGCTGTTAATTGCAGCCGTTCAGTCTGACCTGGGCTGATCCTCTGAGAGGGAAAATGAAGGAATTAGCAAAAATGACAGGGGAAAATTGCAACAATTAGCAGGCAGCATTGTTCCCGCCTGTCACCCGGCTTGTTCGCGCTGCATCTCGGGGGAGGGGTCCCCGTGAACCTCCCCACCCCCCACTCCCAGTTATTGTTCCTGGAGCTGCAGGCGAGGGTGGAAAAAGGATGTAACGGCGCAGGGTTGGGAGAGCGCCGGGAGGAGGGGGCGTGGCCTAGCCATCAGGGGGCGGGGCGGGCGGCGGGCTGCGCCCTGATTGGCGGAGGGGCGGGTCTTCGCCGCCGGGTGTTTTGATGGTCGGGAAACAACAATAGTAATCACTCTATTAATACGCATTGTGGCTCCGCATTTCCCCGCACCTGCTGTGGGTCGGGCCGTGCGAGGCCCTTTCTAGAAGCTCCTTGAGCTGCCTGAATGCTCAGCCAGCCTGGGAGGGCTGCGCTCTTGGCGAACCCACTTGGCAGAGGAGGAAACTGAGGCACGGAGAGGTGAAGGGACCGGCCCCAGGGCAGGCACACAGCCAGAGGGGGACAGCCTGCGCCTGGACGCCGGACCTGGACCCAGCCCTGCGAGAGCCAGGCGCCTGAGGACCCTGGAGGTCACCGAACCCTTCACCTGGCTCCCCAGTCTGAGCCTGGGGGCCTTGGGGGGTCGTTCTCCACAGGGTCAGGGAGGGGGTCACCCCCACACGGGGTCTGGGCCCTCAGCTCCTGCCTGGGGGGCCGGGCCTCCTCTCTCTGCCTCATTGGCCATGGCTCTTTCTGCCCTTTCCCTGTCTCCCTCTGTGCGCCTCGTTTCCTGGGCCTCTCCATCTCTTTGTCTCTCTGTCTTCCTCAGTTTCTATGTCTGTGTATGTCTCTGTCCCTATCTTTTTTTTTTTAACTTTTTAAAAATGTTTTTATTGCCAAACCGGTTTGGCTCAGTGGATAGAGCGTCGGCCTGGGGACTGAAGGGTCCCAGGTTCGATTTCGGTCAAGGGCATGTACCTGGGTTTCGGGCACATCCCCAATGGGAGATGTGCAGGAGGCAGCTGACTGATGTTTCTCTCTCATCGATGTTTCTAACTCTCTATCTCTCTCCCTTCCTCTCTGTAAAAAATCAATAAAATATATTTAAAAAATGTTTTTATTGACTTTTAGAGATAGAAGAAGGGAGAGGGAGCGAGAGAGAGAAACATCGATGAGAGAGAGGCGTAGATCGGCTGCCTCCTGCACGCCCCATACTGGGGATTGAGCCCACAACCGGACATCAAACCAGGGACCTCTTGGTTCTTGGTTCTTGGCTCAACCACTGAGCCACAATGGCCAGGCCCTACCTCTTAAAAATTTTTTTTTATTAAGGTAAAATTTATAACATGAAACTCCTCATTTTAAAATGTACAATTTACTGTGACATTTAGTACATTTGCAATGTTGGGCAACCATCACTTCTGTCTAGTTCCAAAACATCTTCATCATCTCCCTAAAATCCTGTACCCTTAGCAGTCACGCCCCTCCCCTCCCCCAACTCCAGCCCTGGCAGCCACCAATCTGCTTTCTGTCTCTAGGGATTTGTCTGTTCTGGACATTTCATATAAATGCAGTCATCCTATATAATAAAGAGCGAATATGCTAATTAAACCGGATGGTGGAACGACCTTCCGGAATGACCAGTGGGTGGGGCCGCGAGGGCCGAGCCCCTTGCACAAATTTTGTGCATTGGGTCTCTAATACAAATATATGTCCTCTCAGGCTTGGCTTGTCTCGCTTAGCACAATGTGTTCAAAGTTCACCAAAGTCCTAGCTAGGATCCCTGCTTCATTCCTTTTTATTGCTGAATAATATTCCATGGTCTGAATACAGCACGTTTTGTTTACTCATCAGTTAATGGACCTTTGTTTCCACCTTGGGCTGTGGGGAATACTGCTGCGGTGAACATTTATGTACAAGTACTTGCTAGAGCACGTGTTTGGTGCTTTGGGGCACATGCCCACAAGGGGAATTGCTGGGTCAGAGGGTAATTCCATGTTTAACTTACGAGGACCCACCGCACTGTGTTCCAGAGCAGCTGTGCCATTAGCATTCCCACCAGCAATGCACGGGGAGGGTGTGGGTGTGCGATTTCTCCACAGCCTCGCCTGGCACCTATTTTCTGTGTGTGTGTGTGTGTGTGTGTGTGTGTGTGTGTAGCCATCCTAGTGGGTGTGAAGTGGTCTCTCATTGTGGTTTTGATTTGCATTTTGCTAATGACTAGTGAGTTTAAGCATCTTTTCATGGGCTTATTAGCCATTTGTAGATCTTGTTTGGAGAAATGTCTATTCAGGTCCTTTGCTCATTTTTCAATGGGCTGTTGTCGAGCTCTAATGTCCTTATCTCTTTCTCTGTTCCTTTAGATCTCTCTGTACACTTCTCTGTCCATCTAGTTGTCTCTCTGTGCCTTTGTCTCTCAATCTCTGCGTGTGCTCTGTATCTCTCTGTGTGTGTCTCTTTCTCCTTTTCAGTCTCTTCTCTGCCACCTTCTCATCCTGCAGGTCTGAGCTCAGCTACCCCCTCCCCCTTCAACAGGCCTCACCACCTTCCTCCTCATTTCACATAATCTATTTCTTTATTTATTCTTTAATCCTCACCTGAGGATATTTTTCCATTTATTTTAGAGAGAGTAGAAGAGAGAGGGAAAGACAGAGAGGAATATCGATGTGAGAGAAACACATCGATTGGTTGCCTCTTGCAAGAGCCCCGAGGGAGCCTGCAACCAAGGAATGTGCCCTTGACCAGAATGTGCCCTTGACCAGAATCAAACCCGGGACCCTTCAGTCCACAGGCTGATGCTCTATCCACTGAGCCAAACCGGCTAGGGCCACATCATCTATTTGATTCTTCAGAGCACAAATGATAATTCCTTGTTCATTTTTTACTTGTTTATGTGCCATGACCTGGGTGCCTGTGAGGTAGGACCGGGCTGTCTGGGTCACTGCGGTGTTCCCAACACAGAGCCTGGCCACAGGAGCTCAGGGAGAGTTTGCTGAATGAATGAATGGATGGATGGATGAATGAATGAATGAATCCCTTTCTGTATCCCCTGGTGTCTGTCTGTCTCTCTGTCTGTCCAGCCTACCTCTGCCCCTCTCACTCCTCCCACATCCCAGGTCTCTCCCCCGCAGGGCTCGGGGCCCCTCAATACCCCATGATGGCTCAGGACTGGGAGGAAGAGAGGAAACTCATAGCCTGGTTCCCTGGGGTCCTTCCCAGAAGGCCAGGGTCGGCCAGACCGCAGGCCCGGGCCTCACCGGTCCCTCTGTCCCCAGCCCCAGGCCGCAGGGGCCCCGTGGCACTGGTCTCCGAAATCTTCGAGCAGCACCTGGGAGGACACATCTTGCAGGTGAGGCCCCTTCCTTACCTGCTGCTCAATGCTGCCACCTAGTGGCCTCCTCCGAGAACAGCACCCTTCTCTCCCGCATCCATCGCAGGAGAGCGCCAGGCCTGGGAGGCGCATGCTGGGGGCCCCCTTCCTGCCTGCCCCTTCCCAGGGCCAGTGAGGCCCCGTCCTCCGCTCCCAAAAATAATCCATCCTGGCAGAGATAAGGTTTCAGAACCTCTTACAGACGCCAGGCCCTCCTCTCCCCGCCCTGTCTCTCCCACTCTAGTCCCTGGATGGCTTTGTGTTTGCCTTGAGCCAGGAGGGGAAGTTCCTCTACATCTCAGAGACCGTCTCCATTTACCTGGGTCTCTCACAGGTAAGGACCTCAGCAGGCTGCCTGGCCTGGCGCCACCGCCACCTCCCTGGGCGGCCCAGGCATCCCCCTCCTCTCTCCTGACCTCACCATCCCAGCGTGAAAAAGGGACTGGATCCGTGGTTCCCAAAGTGCGTTCCTTGGAACCCCACATGGCATCCAACATGGCTCCTCCTCGCGGTCAGAGGAGGGTTATCGAATTCATGGGTCAAAGAAAAAATAATTTAAAAACAAAACAAGCCCTAGCTGGTTTGGTTCGGTGGATAGAGCATTGGCCTGCAGACTGAAGGGTCCCGGGTTCGACTTCGGCCAAGGACATATGCCCAGGTTTCAGGCTCCATCCTCAGTAGGGGGCGTGCAGGAGGCAGCCCATCAATGATTCTCATCATTGGTGTTTCTATCTCTCTCCCTTCCTCTCTGAAGTCAATAAAAATATTTAAAAACAAAAAGTAACAGGTCAATTTGAAAGAAGCAAATTAGCAGAAAGACCAGTTTGCCCATGAGTGGTGGCCAAATACACCATATTTACCCAAACGTGTTTCTTCGTAACAGTTTTAAAAGATCACAACAATTTGTACAGGTGGGGCTTGGGATCTGCGAGCGCTGGAAGGTTTTCTGTGGCGTTTGAAAGCCCGTGTGTCCGGAGTCCTGGCTCCTGTGGCATCGTAGGCCTCGCCAATCCAGTCAATGCCAATTGCTAGCAACTTATATCGTTTTTAGAAAGATTTTGGCGGATGGTGAATTTCGACAATTCAGTGCCTTGGCCTCTGTGAGCAGCTTTTAGTGAGTTGCTGATTTCTGGAGGAGGATGAACCTGAAGGAAGGGGAATGTGGGCAAGAGAAAGGGAGGGAGGGAGAGGGAGGGAGGGGAGGCTTGAAGCTGGTGTGGGAAGGGCTGGATGAGGGGAGGAGTTCAGGGGATGACCCCAAGCCCTGGGGCGGTGGGAGCCATGGGAGGTCTTTTTTTTCTTTTGAATTGTTGACATTATTACAGATGTCTCTCACCCCCCCCCCCCCACCTTCCCCTTCCCCACCTCCACCAGCTCTGGGAGGTGTCTGAGGGGAGGAGGGCCATGGCCAGATGAGAAACCTCTGGAGGCTCCCCATTTGAGGGGGACTGAAGGCCAGATGATCAGTGAGGATGCTGGGGCAGGAACACAGTGGGGAGAATACAGGGCCTGGATTGGGGGAGATGTGGGACTGCTGCAAGATTGGGGGCCGGGGGGGGGAATTGAATGCAAAAGTCTGCCTGACTGAAATGTCCTAATTCCACTGTTTGTATCTTGAATCCCATTCCTGCTGGGAAATCCTGTGGTTCATTTCAGGGCACAGCTGTTTGCTGTGAGGCTATGACACCTCCCCATCCCAACTCCCTACACAGCTTCTTGTTTTAATAAAATATATTTGTATTGATTTCAGAGAGGAAGGGAGAGGGAGAGAGAGAGATAGAAACATCAGTGATGAGAGAGAATCATTGATTGGCTGCCTCCTGCACGCTCCCCACTGAGGATCGAGCCCGCAACCCGGGCATGTGCCCTTGACTGGAATCGAACCTGGGACCCTTCAGTCCACAGGCCGACGCTCTATCACTGAGCCAAACCGGTTAGGGCCCTACACAGCTTCTTAGCAGAGTAGGCGGGGCAGAAAATCGTTAATGATCACTGGCTTTGACATGGGAGGGCAGAGGAAGAGCCCAGGTTAGCCTCCTCCTTTACAGATGTTCCTTTTGCCCTGGCCCCCGCAGGGATAGAGCTGGGCCTGGGCACTGAAGGGTCCAGGTCCAATTCCGATTCCCGGTCAAGGGCACATACCTGGGTTGCTCGATTCAAGGCAGCCTGCGGGAAGCAACCAAGCAATGTAACTCTCTCACACACATTGATGTCTCTCTCTCTCTCTCTCTCTCTCTCTCTCCTCCCCTCCTACTCTCTCTAAAAAAAAAAAACCAATGGGAAAAAATATCCTCAGGTGAGAGAGTTTAAAAAAAACTTTTTTTAAAAAAAAATTCTAATAAAAACACAAGACTGGCACGAAGTACTCCTGCCTGTAAGCCAGTGGTTCTCAAGCTTCCTAATGCCGCGACCCTTTAATACAGTTCCTCATGTTGTGGTGACCCCCAATTTCATTGTTACAAATTGAACATAATTAAAGCATAGTGATTAATCACAAAAACAATATGTAATTATATATGTGTTTTCCAATGGTCTTAGGGGCTAAGACTTAGGCGACCCCTGTGAAAGGGTCGTTCGACCCCCAGGTTGAGAACCGCTGCTAAGCTTATGAACAGTTGTCCAAACGGGAGGGCCGGTGGCTGCGCGCACCTTACCCGCCTGTATTTCTCCCCTTCGCCGGCAGGTGGAGCTGACGGGCAGTAGCGTCTTCGATTACATCCATCCCGGGGACCACTCAGAGGTCCTCGAGCAGCTGGGACTGCGGACCCGGACCTCCGGGCCCCCTACCCCGCCCTCCATTCCCTCCTCTTCGTCCTCTTCCTCCTCGCTTGCCGATACTCCTGAGATCGGTAATTCCAAGGCCCCAAAGAATGAGGCCTGATGCAGGGACAACCGGTACATTGTATCCAGCGATGTTACATGTAAACCAAACCCACTCTCCTTAGGGTTGTGCAAAACAAGCCTTTAGAGTCTAAATTGGAGCAGGAAGACTTGGCCCCCTAAGATTGCCTGAATCCCCAAGTTTTGAGCTTTAGAAAGATCCCTCTGGCAGCCTCTGGGTGACAGGTAAATAACGGTGCACGCTCACTGGGCGTTTACATGTGCTGAGCCTGTAACTACACAATTGCATGGAATCCTAACCACCATCCCACAGAGCAGGACCCGTTATTCTCTCCGTTTTACAGAGGGGGAAACTGAGGCCCAGCACAGCGAGGTTAAGTTACCTGTCCGAGGTCACAGCTGTAAGTGGAGCTGGATTCCAACCCCGGCTGGTCTGGCTCCAGGATCTAGTGTGCTCCTCACCCTTCTTTCCAATGGAAAATTCCATGGAAAATTCCACTCCATGCGGAGGAGGGCGGGTGTTAGGTTACCCGGACGGTTCCTTTTAGCTCCCAGGTGTGGAGGGGGCTGTGAGGTCAACTTCCCTGTAAATAAGATTTTCTTACATGGGGTTTGCTTTGCACCAAAACCACCTGAGTTGTCAGCAGTGATTGCAAGTCTGGGGAGATGTGTGGGGCTGTGATGATGTCTGCACCTGGATTTGAGGCCCAGGGTCACCTGGGTGTGAGCACATTTATGACTGTACCAGGGGCTTATAGACTAATCGCTATTTGCGAGTCTTCTCTGTTGCTACACCTGATGCCCTGCTCCGCGCCCAGCTCTGTGCTGGGCAGGGCTGGGGACACAGTAGTGACGACAGCCCAACCCCACCCTCCCAGGGCCTAGGCCCAGCTGGGGCAGGTGTGGTGAAGACCCCAGAGGGGCTCCGACCCAGCCGGGCCAGGGGGGCTTCCTGGAGGAGATGGTGACCTCAGAGGGTGTCAGTGGGGCGCAGTTCCTGCCCACGTGTTAGGTCCCGGTGAGAAGCTGGGCGTCCTCGCCAGGGTCCCGGAGTCAGAGCTGAGCCTGAGAAAGGCCGCTTCATGGAGGGGGGTCAGTGTAGATGCCAATGAGCTCGTAGAACCGTCAGGTGGGTGGGCCTCTGGCTCGCTCTGAAGGGGGCGGGGAGGGGCGCCTCTGTGTGTTTCCTCCTCAGGACCCCACAACTCTCCTTCACTCCGCCCAGAGGCCAGCCCCACCGAGGTGCCCGCCTCCTCCCGGGCCCAGGAGCGCTCCTTCTTCGTCCGCATGAAATCCACCCTCACCAAGCGCGGTCTGCACGTCAAGGCCTCGGGGTACAAGGTGGGCGTGAGCTCCCTGCACAGCCTCTGGCCCCGCGTCCTCGCCACCCCGCGAGCTCCCGCACTCCTGCCGGCCCCTGCCCCCGCGCCCCGGCGCCTGCGGGGAAAAAGTGGGGGGCCTTCGCCCCCCCCCCCCCCCCCCCCCGTTTTTTGAATGCGTCCCCCACGGCCCCGGGGGGCCTCCCCTTTTTTTCCGGGGGCTTTCCGGTGCCCCCGCCCCCAGGGGTCTCTTAGGAACTTCTGGGAACATTTTGGCCCCCCGTCCCCGAGGGGATGGAAGGTATTTGTTTAGAGAAACAGGAAAGGTCTCTCGGCTTACGTGGGGGGTTCACTCTAATCCAC